TATATATATTTGCTATATATAGCGAATGTCTTGAGTTGAAATAATTAATTCTTTCAGCGTTGAAGAGCAACAGGTCAACATGACACGTGCAGCTGGGCAGATATCCACAATGTTTGTTTAGTTCCAGATGGTGACTGGCAGTCCATGAATTAACATTTCTAATCTCCCAGTTCTACTAACTTATCCAATTGAGGACGGACGCCTAGGAACTACCTTTCTTCTTAGTGACTAACAACCCGGCCGGCCCTCAGTCAGACACACTTTCGCTTCGACAACGAAGCAGACGTTTTTTCTCCTTGCAGAGGATGCAGCCATCTGAGCTGAGGAATTCGACTCATTTGCCAAAGAGCGAATATCCCAGCCGGGACACGACCACCACATGGCATGACCCACCACACGAGCTCAAAAGCTCCACAAGCAACTTCTTTTCACTTCCTCTGGGAAGTCAAAGGGAAAAAAAGAAAGAAGGATCCTTTTGTTTTGAACCCCATGGGGACCTTCCATTGACTTTCCTTTTCAAGAAAAAAAACAACTTCCTCTGGGAAGTACTTTTATTTGGGAAACAGGATCCAATTGGGCCTTGCCTCTCCTTTATGGCTTGACATGGAGTTTCAGACTGGTGCTGAGGAGTAACTGCCTGGAGGGTTCCTTGCCCACTCTTTGACCTTCACACTGCCTGGACTGTTGATGGGTTACCTGTCGTCATCAAGGTAAAAGCTGGCTTACTAGCGTTCCTGGCTTTAGCTGAAACAGAGTGGACGACGCTTCGCTCTTCTGGTCAAACCCACATTCTTAAGATAAAATTAGAAATAACTAATTAGTTTTCCTTTCCTTCTATTCCTTCACTTATCTACTTTGCCAAAACCTAAGTTTAAGTACCTGCAAATGCTCTGGTTTCATTTAACATCTAAGCTAAGTGGTAAACTCTATCTTGTCGTTCTATCAACATTGTTTGTCATTTTACCTTGCTTTTATTCAGTGTCTTAATCTTTTTCATTTTGCTTGATATTTTCATTGCTGATTTTACGCTCTTACTAAAATGTTTTGCTGTTGCTGTTTTTTTTTTTTTTTACTTTTTTCTTCTTTTTTTTCTTTTCTGAACTACCGGGTACTTTTATTTGTATTACACTGTTTTTACCATTAATGTTGTTTCTCTTGTAACGAATCTACACTGCCTTACATGTGCTGTTCTTAAATTGTTGATGATTTTATTTAATATTTTATGTTTTCCTAGGGTGCCACTGTACACACTGGCCACCAGGACTACAGGGGAAAACTAGCCTTTGGCTAATTCTGGCATGTTGCAGATGTACTGTTATTAATATGCACTGTCCTGTTAAATAAAATAATTTAAAAAAGCTGATGTTTGGCTGTTTCTGAAATTGTCGTATTAATAATTAATAGTGCGGACGCGTGCTTATTGTTGTTAACTCTTAAACTTTTATTGGAAAATTGATTGCCCACAATTAAGTTGTTCACTCATAATTTGTGTGATTTGTCACTTATTGTGTTTGTCATTCACTCTTGCACAAAGAGGTATTTTTCTTAATAGTCAAGAACCCTTGGTAAACAACATCCTTATAACTTTCGTTGTAAGAGATGTAAGTACTCTTACACCTGTGTGCTTTCCCAGGATGCGACAAAGAGGAGATTTGACATAAGATCCTTAGATATGTCATTTTTACTAACTGGGAATTTATAATGTATGTGAATGGTTTTTACAGTGCCCTGAGCCATTTGTTGGGAATTGGTGCTTTACATATAAACTGCATTAAACTTGAACACAAATAGGTAATTAACCAATCATATAGCGCAGATCAAGGGGTTTAGGCGTGTAGACGTGATGAAGATGACTTGCTAAAGTTTAAACCAGAATGGAGAAAAAAGGAAGATTTAAGTGACTTTGAATGTGTCTTGGTTGTTGGGCTGGTTTGTCTATTTTTTTTTTTTTTTTTTTGTGGATAACCATTTCTATGGTTGACAGAATGGTCAAAAACAAGAGAAAATAACTAATGAGCAACAGTTGTGTGTACAAAAATACCTTTT